ATTCTGTCTAAATTTTTCTTGACCATATTAATTCTGAGCCATCGTGAATCATTTAGAGCTGTGTCAATATCATAACCATTATAGACATGAAATCCCCCATACTTTACAGAGATGAAGAAAGTATGCAATACATTTGCCTTCTCTTTGTCCACAATCACCCCCTCTAGATTATTTTCTCCATTCACCCGCAATCCTAGTTTAAATACTCCACCAGTCTAACCATAAACCTCTCCCCCAGCACAGCAGATCCCCTTCCATTTAGGTGCAAACGATCTTTATTTCATAGGTTGTACCCCAATGAAAAGTTAGCCCAGTGCTCTAGAAACCCAAATCATTCCCTCTTACACCAAGTCTTTAGACATGCATTCAGCTCTCTAATCTACCCCTGTCTTCATTGTGTTCTGCATGGTACAGGCAATATTTTAGAGAATATCACCGTGGAGGTCCTTCCCTTCAACTTGCAGTCTAGTTCCTTAAAATGAATTCTTGAGGAGCCTCCACCTTCCATGTTCACCGCATGCAAAACCCTGGCACCACTGAGACAGCAAACCATTAAGTTGAGGTGATCCTGGTGACAAATTATTCTTTCATTCCTTCTGATTATAGAATTCCCTTTTACCACCAACTGTCTAGGCCTTCCTGCACTACCCTCACCACCCTTACTAGATAGGCTGCTCTCCTGGCTGTTAGGAACAGCAGTGACATCTAGGACTGCCATCTTTGAGCTTGCTACCCGCACATCTTCACCCAATTTGGCAAATCTGTTTGGGTGCTGAAACTGAAAGCTGGCCTTCCTTTTTTGTGAGCCCCTACCACTCCCTCTGACCACAGTAAATTGATCTTCCTACGTGATAATCCTGACCTACCCCTCCATCGTTCACGTCAACCCCATTAACCACCTGCTCAGTGTGCAGAAGACCCCTTTCAAGGTTGTCAGTCCTGCCAACTGTTGCAACTTGCTCCTCCAGATCTTTAATGTGAGCTTCTAGAAGGGCAACACACTCACATCTGTCACAGCGATATCCATTCTGGAGCTGTTGCTCGATTGTTGTATACATGCTGCCCACTGTACTACACAAAACCAACCCTGATAGCACTAATTTTCTCAGTTACAATATTAATATTACTAAACGGAATTTCAGATGTTACTTACAGGTAGAAGACTCCTGTTATAAACTCAATTTTTTAACTCCACTTGGTCAAAGTTCCAGCAAGCAAAGGGTGAGAAAACTCATAGTGAGTTCTACCAAAGTTATATAGTAACTGGAGCACCTGTGAACAATTAACCACTTCCCTTAATTAGCAGACAGAAGGAAGGAAAGAAAAAAAAATTAAAAAGTGTCAGAAAAGGTGTTTTAAAAAGCTGCTAGTAAAGACCCCAAAGCAGAAAATAAAACAACTGCAACCACAAGCAATCACCAGCAGTCAAAAGCAAAACTTTTTAACTACACTCAAATTTCCCACTTTTTAGCTTCCGACCTTCAAAATGTGGTTATACTGATTAACACTAAATGTTATAGTTAACTTAACTGTTAAAGCACACTTTTATTTAATAACATAATGCATGATTTTCATGGGTAACTCATACAAAACAAAACCAAATAAGGTTTTATCAAATGAATGTAGTCATGACACTAACATCTATTCATCAAAAACATGTTTTATACTGGCAAAATATATAACTATACATAAGTTGCTATAAAAGAAATCCTTCTTAAAGTGTATTTAAAGGCAACACTTTTACGTATGTGTTTATTTTTCTTGGTTTTGGAGAGATTTGAGAGGGACTGGAATGCCTGTCAGTTTTTATTGCTGTGTCCCTATAGGGAGATTCACCCTCTCCAATTGTCCTGTTTATTGTTATCATCAGTAGTAGAGAGGGAATCTTCCTATGGGGACACTAGTTCTGGTGACCCTGGTGAAACCCCAGGATTCTTTCACTTTGGAGGAATTTCCTCTTACTTCCTGGTTTGGCTATGGGAGAGGAAGTGAAGGGAAATATCCCCTTTGGGACAAGGATGGCAAAAAAAAAACTGGGGTTACTCTACCTAAAATAAAAAATGTTTGCTTTTAGTTCATCTTTAACTAATATATTATATATATATATATATATATATATATATATATATATAAATATACTTTGTGTGGCCTTCAGATTAACACAACAACAGTGTGTAGAGAGCTTCATAGAATGGGTTTCCATGGCCGAGTAGCTGCATCCAAGCCTTACAGTAAATCACCAAATGCAATGCAAAGCGTCGGATGCAGTGGTGTAAAGCATGCCACCACTGGACTCTAGAGCAGTGGAGACATGTTCAATGGAGTGATGAATCATGCTTCTCTGTCTGGCAATCTGATGGACGTGTTTGGGTTTGGTGGTTGCCAGGAGAACGGTACTTGCCTGACTGCATTGTGCCAAGTGTAAAGTTTGGTGAAGGGGGATTATGGTGTGTGGTTTCAGGGGTTGGGCTTGGCCCTTTAGTTCCAGTGAAGGCATCAGCATACCAAGACATTTTGGACAATTTCATGATTCCAACTTTGTGAGAACAGTTTGGGGATGGCCCATTCCTGTTCCAACCTGACTGTGCATCAGTGCACAAAGCAAGGTCCATAAAGACATGGATGGAAGTTTGGGGTGGAGGAACTTGACTGGCCTGCACAGAGTCCTGACCTCAACCTGATAGACACCTTTGGGATGAATTAGAGAAGAGACTGCGAGCCAGGCCTTCTCGTACAACATCAGTGCCTGACCTCACAAATGCACTTCTGGAAGAATGGTCAAACATTCCCATAGGCACACTCCTAAACCTTGTGGACTGCCGTCTAAGGCAAAGGCAGGCGCCCCAATACTTTTGGCAATATAGTGTATAAATATATATATATATATACACATACATACATACATACATAAATATATAGGTAAATGAGGGCCATTGTGATAAAACTAGATGGGAAAAGTGATTGACATCTTTGTGTATACACAACTTCAGAGCCAGAAGGGATCTATTGTTTTTCTATGCAGTAAGCAATTTACACTGGTGCAAGTAATGCACAGTTTATGTGAATGCATTTGATACTGTTTTTTTTTATGGTGAATAGTTTAATCAATAAAAATGATTACACTATGACAATCTGTTTTATGCCTTAATCCCCATAAGAGTGATTCAACCAGACTTTGCTGAGCAAGCTCAGGGTCAGAAGGAAGGATTGCCACTTAATTTTAACAAGTGTTTTACACCTAATGTATAAGTGATACATCTTGGAGTGGGTGAGTGCTCCTTATTGAGTGAAGGTGCTCAGTGAATGTCATTTTAACACTTGTGAAAGAATCAGACACTTATTTTTTTTAATGTAATATGTATTTACTATTGAAGGAATCGCATATATGTTGTTCATGCTTGTCATGCTTTATAGGTTTTTAAGCTGAGTTGATAATAATTGTTCTCAAATATTGATACACATGTTGAATTTCATTTCAATTTTATTAATCATATAATTTGCTGGTATTATTACCCATTTAATGTCACATGATTTGAATTTGTGCACAGTAGGGGTAATGTGTCTCTAATCTGCATACCTGTATGAAGGCTACTAATTCTAAAATAATCTTATATACTCAGATGTAATATATACCGCTAGTATAATTTGGACACTTTTGGACAGTCACACATGGATGTTTTTAACCGTTTCCATACCGGGCACTTTTACCCCCTTCCTGCCCAGGCCATTTTTCAGGTTTCAGCGCTCTCACACTTTGAATGACAATTGCGCGGTCATACAACATTGTACCCAAACTAACATTTTATCATTTTCTTCACACAACTAGAGCTTTCTTTTGGTGGTATTTAATCACCACTGGGGTTTATATTTTTTTCTAAATTAACAAAAAAAGGCCAAAGATTTTGAAAAAAAAAAACATTTTTGTTTTTTGTTTCTGTTATAAACGTTTGCAAATAAATAATTGTTCTTCATAAATTTAAGCCAAAATGTATTCTGCTGCATGTCTTTGGTGAAAATAAACCAATATAGGATGTATTTTTTAGTTTGTAGGAAAGTTATAGAGTTCACAAACTATGGTATAGATCTGAATATTGATCAATCCTGAAGTACTGACAGCCAATCTAATTTCTTGAGGTCCAAGAATGTCAGAACAGTACAGATATCCCCCAAATGACCCCTTTTTGCAAAGTAGACAGTCCGACGTACTTCATAAGAGGCATGGCAAGTTTTTTGAAGTTGTATTTTTTTGTCATAATTTTTTCGGAAAATGAAAAAATTTAAAAAATGATTTTCACTATTTTTATTTTTTACATACTGTCACCAGTGCAGTACAGCGTCATCGTATAACTGGCATGGTGGTGATCAGGGACACTGACTGGTGACAGTATGAAAAAAAAAATATATAATTTTTTTTTAATTTTGTTTAATTTTTTTTTATTATTTTTTTTTTTTATTATATGTTTTTTCTTTTTTTACGATTTTTTTTTCATATTTCACTATGACCAAAGTAGTACAATTTTACCATAGTAACATTGTACTACTTTGGGGAAGTGATCAGTATTTTTTTTTTTTTTTTTTTTTTTACACAATTTGCTTATAGCAAAGAATTACTTTGCTATAAGCAAGCATTTACCTGAATGACATCGATTCATTCAGGGTTTTTTTTTTTTTTCGTGCTTAGCAGTGATTTGGCCACAGCTAATCACATGACACAGCTGGGCTGGGATTAGCCCAGCTTGTGCATGTGATCGCTGTGACCAATCACAGATACACACACTAGTATACAATGGATGGCATGAATGAAGCCATCCATTGTATACAACTGTCATGTGACCTGTTGTGATTGGTCACAGCAGGTCACATGGTATCGGCAACGGGGCCGGCACTCAGATCTGTCATCGGCCGTGTCCGAGGTACATGGCTGGTGACAGGTCTCGCCACTGCGCGGCTCTGCAGGCGCGCAAACTACGCATGCCTGGGCAGGGCTGGACTGATAACTCATGGGGTCCCCGGGCAATAGGGGATCATGGGGCCCCTGTGTCCTTGCCCAAACTCAAAAAAGCCTATGAAAAAGATACCAGGGGCATCTCATGGGGCCCCCTACTGACCCCGGGCCCTCGGGCAGTGCCCGAGTTTCCAAATGGTCAGTCCGCCCCTGGACACAGCAGCTGGGCAAGGCTTGGGTGTTGGCAGCATTATGGAGGTGGACGCGGCCTGTATCCCCAGACCACAGCAATTCCTTTTTATTGATCTGTTTGATTGTTCACCAACAAACTGTTTTGTTTAAATCTAAAACCATATCAAATATCAAAAACAGACCAAAAAGGAAAAATAATGAGGAATTGCACATCAGATCCACAATGTACATAATGCATTTAATTTTGGTGTCCATATGGCGTCCACCCGGAACGCTAATGGGTTTTGCACGCCACCATTCGGCCATGCGCCGGGCAGCTAATGGTTAAAAACATGTACACAAGCACTGCTTTTAAATGTCTGCCAGTGTAGGGGCCCTGTGTGATTAATGACAAGCACATTCAGGTACAAAGACACTCATATTCAGGTGCTTGTGTACTTTAGTTTAACATTGCAAGAGTCACAATAAAAAAGGTGCAGAAGTATCAACAGCGTGACACTTTGGAAAATTAAGGACAGATACTTTTCACTTTCTGCACATCTACAAACAATTGATGGGTATATGACTTGTGGAAGCAACAGGAACAGACCCCCATAAAGATCCCCTTAAAGTGTTACTAAATTCATGACCCTGCATTCACTATATCTGGTCTCTCACAGTGCACAGAACAAGAAAATGTAATTATTTTAGTAAATATAAACTGCTAAATACCTTTTCTCATCAGCAGTTAGAGCAGTTTTGTGACTTCTATCAATGTCCAGCAGAGCACTGGTTAAAGCTTGTTGGATGAGTTTTCTTTCTGCTCTAGGAGGATGTAGAACCCCTTAGCTCTGTCTGGATAGTGCTGATTAGCCCAGTGCTGATCACATGCACTCTCCCAAGAAAAAAAAAAAAACCTCTCTAGCAATACACACCAAACTGAGCATGTGCAGAATGTCTCCACTTGATATGTCTTATCAGGAGATATGAGGGGGACACTAGAAGAAGGGGAGCATCAGAGAAGTCAGGATCAAACAGTTTTTTTACACAATGCAGAGGATTAACCCCTTAGGTCCCACAGTGAGTATATCAAGCATGCTTTACTGCATATATAGATTGATTTTACTGTTGTGGGTTTAGTAACACTTTAAATCCTTTACATATCACTAGGATCCACTAAAAACATATTACTTGCTATAGTCGCAAGCTATTGCAGGTCTTCTGTTCATGACATGATGGTATACAGTGTACTATAAACAAAAATAAAGAACATGTTGTGTTCAATAATACTTTTAAAGAACACAACAGAAAAACTATGAGGCTAGATTTTCCTGATGTTTGCGACTGACCTATAACCAGACTGAGAATCATGCTTGTAATTAAGAGTAAATTAATTACAAGCATGGCTAATTCAGGATGCAAGTCATTAACAGAATCGTGTCTATCAGATAATCATGAATGAATGTATCTGGACATGTAATATGTATACCAATTACTTATATTATATATATATATATATTGAATATAATATGTAAATATCTATCAACCCTCAAAACACCTGTTAAATTGTCCTTCCCTGCTTGAGTGATGACCAACAGGGATTAACTTACTAAAACTGAAGAGTGCAAAATCTGGTGCAGCTCTGCATAGAAACCAATCAGCTTCCAGGTTTTATTGCCAAAGCTTAACTGAACAAGCTGAAGTTAGAAGCTGATTGGCTACCTCGCAAAGCTGCACCAGGTTTTGCACTCTCAATCTTTTGTAAATTAACCCCACTGTACCTTGTCCCTAGTTACCACCAATTTACTAAACAATTGTACTGATGGGATTTCGAAGGCAATCTACTAACACATATTCTCATCAAAATATCAATATTTATTTATACAAATTAAAAATGATGTAAAAAACACAATCTCAATGATAGTATTCCAACAAAACATTAAGGATTTTAAATATCACTTATTGAGACTTGTAACAAGATACAATACAGGTCCAGTGGTATACCCCACAGCTGACTCCCACAACCTTATTTTCTTGATCGTTGGTTTGTTCAGCCAGGGAAATCCAACGCATTTTGAAAATGTTATACAAATGATCTTCTTCAAAGATCAGATACCACTCTGGAACATAAACAGTGATTTACCATCTAGTTTACAAAATGTCATATTTCACAAAATTAATAAATTACATGTTTGGTAAAAACTTACATAACCACAATTTATTATTGATATTCCAAAAGAAGATGTCTCATCCTGTAGGGGAGGTGTAACTCCCTATAAGTAGGACCGCCATCATGGTGTGCAAGGACCACCAGGCTAAATGCCACCCCACTGCCATAATAAAAAATGTTGACATTCAATATATATTCTTAATAATGGTTACTAATACGATAAAGAAATGAATAAAGAAACAAAGCAAAAATGTGCAAGAGCTTCTGCTTGCATGTTACATGGAAGACTTTTTTGCTTTTCATGTTTTTATTTTGGGGGCATATCATATCCTATCATATATATATATATATATATATATATATATATATATACATATATATATATATATTATATGACTATGGGGGATAATGCTCGCCCTCGAGGTAACTACTTGATCTGATAATTATACCCCTCAGATTGATATTGTAACTTTACTATGCTCTAATATTTACCTGAGTATTACAGTATTTTTGACCATCTTTAGCATCCATTTTCAGCATTATAGTACTCCTAACTATTGTAATATGCTCTAGTATTTATTCTGAGCATTATATTACTTTAACTATCTCAGTATGCTTTATATCTAGTATATCTATTCATTTTGAGCAATACTTTATTCAACTATCCTAATGTGTTTCAATATCTAACAACAAAAATAAAGTGAGTGCCTGGAGATCTGGGAGCAGCTAGCACATATGGTGAACCCAGGAGGCGAGTCCCTTTGAGAACGTGCGTGTGCAAAAAATGCGTCAGAGAGGAGCCTACGTGCTGATGTCACACCGCCGAGTCCATGCCTGGTCTGGCGGCCATCTTTGTAAGTTCGGCTGCAGTTTTATTTCCACGTGGATTGTATGTATATTTTTGATCCTAATAAACTGTGTACCTCCAATTTGGGCTCCACGTGGTGAGCTCTTTTTACAGGGTGCGTTGAACCAGTCCCAAGAGAAGAAGTATTGATTGGATTGGAATGTCATTTTTGAAGCTGATTTGATTTAGTTCTGGTGAGTGCATATTGGTGAAGGATCTCACGGATGTCCTTTTCACATTTGGATGTTGCTTTACTACACTGAGGACTTCAGTTCATACAGACTGCTTGTGTAGTCAGTAATTTCACTGTGCACTAGCTTTCTACGACTTGCTCTATTTTTGCACTGACTCTGGAAGCTTCTGATTTGGATTTTGCTTCACTACATTGAGGACTGCAGTTCATACGGACTGTTTGCGCAGATATTATTTTCACTATGAACTTGCTTTCTAATATTTTCTTTATTTTTACACTGTTTCTGGAAGCTTTTTGATTTTTAATGTGATAGTTACTGATGAATATTGAAAATATATTTAGGGTATTATAACATATTATCTTAAAATAAATTGGTATTCAATCGTAAGGTAGACACATTTGCATACTTTGTCTTTTTTTTTTTTTATTATTTGCATTTGTTTCAATATCTACATTCATCTTGAGCATTATTGTCCCCACAATATGTCTGGTGTTTCTCTTGCACATTTTTGCTTTGTTTCTTTAGTAATGTGTTTATTGTTTTAGTAACCATTATTAAGAATATATATTAAATGTCAGCATTCTTTATTATGGTAGTGAGGTGGAATTTAGCCTGGTGGTCTTTGCACACCATGATGGCGGTCCTACTTATAGGGAGTTACACCTCCTCCACATGATGAGACATCTTCTTTTGGAGTATCAATGATAAATTGTGGTTATGTAAATTTTTACCAAACATATAATTTATTGATTTTGTGAAATATAGCATTTTGTAAACTAGATGGTAAATCACTCTTTATATTCCAGAGTGGTATCTTATCCCTGAAGATGATAACTTGTGTAACATTTTCAAAATGCGTTGGATTTCCCTGGCTGAACAAACCAGCGATCAAGAAAATAAGGTTGTCATTTTGGTGATTGGGGGGAGGGGCCTGTGCATGGCGGCGTTGGAGAGCACGATGTAGGTGCGCTCCGAGACCTCGGATCCCGACTTCCCATACCCTCTATGCCGTGGCTGAGTGTCTATGTATTGTATCTTGTCACAAGTCTCAATAAGTGATATTCAAAATCTTCCATTTTTTTGCTAGGAATCTATCACAGGGATTGTGTTTTTGTAATGTAATTTTTAATTTGTATAAATAAATATTGATATTTTTATGAAAATATGTGTTAGTAGGTTGCCATTAAAATCCCATCATGAGTACAATTGTTTGGTGTTTATACAATTTACGGATGGTGGCAATCATACTCTAAGTCACACAACTCTATCTATATCACCATTTTTTCTGGAAACAGTTTAAGGGCTGGTTTACACTTGAATCACACTGGGATGCGGTCCAGGTTCCTGAGTGATTCCTGTGTGACTGTGTGCAGTGAAATTTTCAGTCCATTCATTTGAATGCATGCAACGCACCAAATCACATGGTAGAGCAGTGCTATGTGATCCGGTGCAGGCAGATGCATTTGTGATCTGTAGCTGGGGTGTTGTTAGGAATATATTGAAACCTACTGCACATTGCACACCCCACAGTGCAGGAAATGTGCATGTAACGGTTTCCAGCATTGCGTTCTGCATTGTGAACAAGCCCTAAATGGGTGTTATTACCAGTAAAAAGGTAGGTTAGACAAATACACTGCAACAGTGAACAAATATACAACAATTATAAAAGTTACAACAGTGTTAAATACCACCATAAAGATCAACAAGTGGTTCTGCCTATGCCATGGGCCAGTGGGACTAAACTCATTCACTGCCAGTGTTAGGGCCCTGATCCTTGAGATGGAGCACTATCTCAGTACCAGGATGCACACTGGGTCTTTAAGGCTGAGCAAAATTATGACTACTCATTACTGACCTTTGACTTGTTTACTGGCTGACTTTCTGTTTGATCCTTACCTGCTTAATCCACTACTGGACCCTGGCTTGCTCACCTCTTGGTGGGGTGATCCTGAGGCTGGTGCTAACATGCAGCAAAATCTATCTCCACCATCAGGAGCTCTGGTGAACACCGGTTAGACTCTGCACCTCAGGTGAGCCTGCATCATCCACCAGGGTGACCTGCCTGTGTACCTATGCTGCTGGTTTCTGTGTTAGCCTTTCCACTGCTATAGTAACTGGTCTTCGAATCTGTTCCCTGATCATAACATTGACATTATCATGAGCCCTGCATTCAAAGGGGAAGGTGACCTAATGATTTCTGCACAAGCTCAGATGTTTGCTCAAGAACTTGGCTGTTTACACCAGCAAATTCAAAAACGGGAAACCCAGCTCACTAAGGTACAGTTTTCCTTTCCAACTATCACTGCCAACACCCTGTCACATGTACCAAATATTCCTTTGCATGGTACTTTTTCTGGTGAATGTAGGGTGTTCTGTAACTTTAAAAACAGTTGCAAATTATATTTCAAGTTAAAGACTTCATCATCTGGCTCTGATACACTGAGGGTGCAAATCATAATTTAATTACTGTATGGTGACCTCCAGGCCTGCGCCTTTAGTCTGGAACCAAACCATCCAGCCCTGTTAACAGTAGATGCCTTCTCTGAAGCTCTGGGATTGCTATATGATGACCCAGAACATGCTGCTGCTGCTGAAACAGCCCTGCATAACTTAAAACAAGGGGCTAATGCCTCTGAGATACTGGGGTTGATTTACTGAAACTGGAGAGTGCGAAATTTGGTGCAGCTATGCATGGTAGCCATACAACTTCTAACTTCAGCTTGTTCAGTTAAGCTTTGACAAAAAAACTGGAAGCTGATTTGTTTTTATGCAGAGCTGCACCAGATTTTGCACTCTCTAGTTTTAGTAAATTAACTCCAATGTATTTCATTCAGAATTTTGCAGATGGACTCCAAAGTCTGGATATAATGAAACAGTGTTCCACGGCCAATTCTGAGTTGGCTATCCAAAGCAATTAAAGATGCTTTGGTTAATTAGTCCCATCCAGCTTCACTGGAGGAGGCCATGAAATTGGCCATCAGAATTGACCATTTTCAGTGAGAGAAGAGACTGGAACTTGGCACAACTGAGGTGAAACCTATGTCTTCCTAATGCCCTATTTCTCCCCCCTTCAATGATATGTCTATATGTCTATGCATCTGTCTATATGTCTATGCAACTAGGTTCCACCCATTTATCTGCTCAGGAACACACTCGTTGTTACTTCATGGCCTGATCTGATCTTCTCCATCCTTGCACCAGTCCTTCTTGCCCTGCTGACATCTGCGGTGGTGCACTACACATACTAAACAGCCTGCTCTTCCTACAGTCCTGCTCATGGTATGTCCTGCATACTATGGAATTTGCATTTGTAGCACTTAACTGTTTTGCTGTTGTCTATACTCCTGACCAGACACACTCTTTTCTCAATGGGGAAGTTTGTAATCCTTGGGCTAGGGCAAGCCCAGTCAAATAAACACATCAATGTGGTCCACAGGCCTCTCACTACCCCAGTAGGTATGGCAGAGACCTCTCAAAAGCAGCCCAGTCCTGGATCGCTCTCACACTCAGGATGGTTATGGATATTAACAAAGCAACAGCTTCTGAATGGAGTTACATTAACCTCTGTAAATATCTGCAGAACTCTCCGTGATAAACAATACTGAAACAGAAGGATAATGGAACAGAAGTATACAGGAACAGCAGGATACTAATACAGCAGCTCTGCCCCACATGCAGCTCACCTCCTGGGCTCATTCAGCAGTAACAGTAACTGAATTGTGTTGTAACTGTACTGCCTGCTTTCATTTTGTAAAGCACATGGAAACTGTATGAATCCTGTGTATCACCCTCTTATGTACATAGTTTGTGAGTATAGTTAGAGGTTTGTTAGAAGCCTGGGCGTGAGTCCAAGGGTTTAAGTCAGATCAGGTCAGTCCACTGGTATCTCCCCCTGCTCCAGAAGCTTGTAGAAGTTTCTAGAAACTTGTAGTTGGAGGCCAGGAGGATCTGATCTGAATATTCATGGGAGTCTGACCAATCCCAGGCAGGAGGCCTGGCAGTGTGGCAGACTGGCCCATAAATATGAGAGAGCCTGGCCACCAGGGGAGTTGAGTGGAAGATGGAGTGCTGAGGTGTGTTGCTATGTAGCCTGGAAGGGGACCCCAGAGAAGGGGGTTTAGCCTCAAGGGTGAAGGTTGGAGGAAGGAAGGAAATTAATCTGACAGAGAGAGCTCCACTACCTACAGTCCACCAAGGAAGGACAGCCTGTAAGCCTGGAAAGAAACAAGCCCAGCAAAAGCCTGAAAGCAGTTTTTCCAAAGCTAAAGGACACAGGATAGTGTGAGTACCTCTACATCCCTGGGACCCACAGGAGAGAGGGCTGCTAGGCGCTATACCTAACCAGTTCTCCCTGGAACAGTGCTGTAAGCCTTTACAAGAATCTCCTGCTCCAGGATACTCAGCTCAGTCTCTGCAGCTTTGGGATTTCTTTACTCTATCCTGCACACAGTAACAATGTATCCTTTGGGATACCTCTAGGCTCACAGCAGTAGTCCTGCAACAGCAGCAATGTAAAGCTCCCAACAGCTTCCACAGCATCCCAAGCTTCTTTGGCAGCTTCCACAGCAGCCATTGAGATTCTTCTTTTGTTCTTTCCTTTCTCATCCTTCTTTCTGTTTCTGAGTTGAGAAAGCAAAGATTTGTACATTCAGAGAGGAATGTGTTGCTGGTTCACTTAAAGCAGACATCAGGTGTTGCAATATCACCTACTGAAGATCAGGTGGGCCAGACTACAAATCTCCTACAGAAGGCCAACAATTATACATTAAAGGGAAGCCAATTAAAGGGAAAATTCACCTTTGTATTAAATTACAGGCCTCTGCTGTGATGTAGGAGGGGGGAAGAGTGCACTCTGCATGTGTGGTTGTATGTCCAAGGAAATGCTCTAATTTATTCATTTAGATACTGTGGACTTTCCTTAGATGCTAGTGCTGTGCCCAATGATCCTCCTGTCTTAGATTCTGCAGAGAACACAGCTGATCTCTCTCAATGGAAATGTCCTGGCCAGGCTGCAGAGAAGCCACCCTTTGCCAACAGGATAATCTTTAAAGTGTTGCTAAACACAGGACCCAGCATTCACTATATCTGGTCTCACACAGAACACGGAAGTGCAATTATTTTGGTAAATATAAACTGCTAAATACCTTTTTTCATCAGTAGTTAGAGCAGTCTTGTGACTTCTATCAGTGTTCAGCAGAGCACTAGTTAAAGCTTGTAGGAGGAGTTTTCTTTCTGCTCTAGGAGGATACAAAACCTCTGACCTCTGTCTGGACAGTGATGATTGGCCCTCTAGTAATACACACTAAACTGAGCATGTGCA